AAAGGCAAAGAGAAGCGGAACCCTTAGGAACAGGGGTTGACACACACAGGTAGCCGAAGTCGGCGCATGCACATGGAACGGTGGCATCCTCTGCTTTTTCTTAAAAAACGCCGGCATGCTGTTGGGTCATGTCGTTTTTGAATCATGGTGGAAATGTGAACTGACGTTTCCTGTACATCTTGGAAGTCCAAATGCGATGACACGTCCTTGAAATCAAAAGTGCAGCTGCAACAAATTCCGAATAACAAGCTCTTGCAAACATGTCGATACAAAGTCTGGAGACTCAGAATATCCGTAGAAGCCCGGCGGCTCTGGATTCCGACAATTCAATAGTGAGACAAAAGCAGTTAACGTGATTCACGGTGACCGACGATGAATCAGTGACACGATTTCCGGCATGACAACGGCGCCTCCTTGCGGAGGATCACACCCAGCACCCAAGTGGGACGGCTGAGCGGCTCACACTCTGACATTGGTTTGCTGTTAACTCAATTCCCACGTTGAGAAGGAAGGTGAGGGAAAGGCAAGGCGAAAGGTCCAAAGATTTGAAGATGTTTGAACAAGTGGTTTGTGCACATCTGCAAGTCACGAGAACAGCGGTGTCGAGCAATCAGCGCGGCTGCACATCTGCGGTGGGAAGGGTTTTGGGGTCTATCATGCAAGGACCATGGAAACAAACTGAAAGATTGGAGTCACAGCGTGATCCAAAGTTCTGTCAGCGCAGGTACGCCAGGATGGCCAATCCTGGTATCCCGTGTTCAGACTAGCTTCGTTGGGCGTAGTCATCTGAACACGCTACGCCCCCCTGCATTTGTGGAAAAAAAAGGCAAAGAGAAGCGGAACCCTTAGGAACAGGGGTTGACACACACTCTGACACTTGTATTCAGTGACTCAGTTACCACGTTGGGAAGGAAGGTGAAGGAACAGCAAGGTGGAAAGGTCAGCTGAAACAGTATTGTTGAACAATGTTGGCACTCGCAAACGGCGGAAAGCGAACCGGCTGCACAGCTGCTGGGGACGAATGTTTATGGGGTGGAAAACGTGAAGAACCATGAACCAAAAAGTGGAAAAGTGGAGTAACAGCTTGTGAAAGAACGAGCAGGTACACGGAAGTGATCAGCTTCCGCTTCCTAGGATCTTGCAAAGAGCTTCGTTGGGCAGAGCCTTGCAAGTCCTCTCTGCCCCCCTGCCTGTAGAAGGTGTTCGAAAAAGGTGGTTGAAAAACTGTGGAAGGAGTAGCGGTGGAAAACCCTTTGTCCAGGGGTGGACACACACAGGTCGCCGGCTTCGGCGCTTTTCCAGCGCGCATGTGAGAACACTAAATAGTCACCTAAAAAGCCTTAGAAACAAAAGGAGAGAAAGACAGAAAGAGCAGCGCTAAGAGGGGAAGAAAGAAAGATAGGTGTAGTTACGAGGCCCACTAGTTACAAAACCTTCTAGTTACTGACTACCTAGCACTCTAGTTACTGAATACTTAGCCCTTGACTTGAGGGAACGGAAAGAAGTGCTGGGTCCGAACAACAGAAGGTTTCAACAAGAATTAGTTACTGACTACTTAGCAGTTCTTAATTAGGTGCAATAGTTAGGGAGCGGGACTTTAGTCTTAGACCGCCCGGGTAGGAAAGACTAGAAAAGGAACAACACAGGGAAAGGCACCGACACACAAGTGTGTCGAGTACCATTTCCCTATGTTGCCCCAAATAGGTAGGGA